TTCGGGTTTCAATTTCGTTATTCGGATATTCGTTTTGTTTGTTTTTTCCCCGTTTTTTTTCAAATTGAATTTATTGAAATCTCCAATATCAACGTAAGAGCTTGTGCCTCTTCGGGGGGTGCTAACACTTAACCATAAACGTTATCGTTTACTTTCTCCGTCTTTATATGTAGATATTACTTTTCTCCGTTAAACTCTGTCACGTTGTTTCCAAAGCAACAACAACTTTCTGTCAACTGCGCTAACTCTCCTTCAAAATAAAAGCATGTCCATAAATAGGAAACCAAGCCAAATTACACTTAAGACGTATACAACTGCAACGAAAATAACAAACACAATGCAATATCCTTTTCAATTTCAAAGAACACAAATTGGGTTACATTAACAAATAACTATAAAACAACAATACTGTAGAATAACAAAATGAATGCCGTGAATACACCGAAATACACGTGTTGAAGCAGTTCGCTGCTGATTACTACGCCCCCCCGCATTACTACCGAATATCCGGAGCCCGAAAAATGGTATTCGGGACAGCCCTAAATCATTCTGCTTCAGTTTGTGGGCTACAGCCAGTTTATGGTAGCAGCAAGTTAACAGCTTCATCCTTTGATCAGAACCCCGTATACCCTAGTCAGCGCCCCTAGTTACACCAATCAGCGTGCGATTACCGTACAGCCAATCACAATGCGTGACGTCATTGGTAAGCGACGGACCCCGAACACATATGGTAGGCCGAACACATATGGTACTGACACCTGTAAACCGGAGGAGAACGCTGGCATTTCTCCTCCTACTTGAAAGACTACGGAGGGATAGGGTCTGCAAAATTAGTTTGTGTGTGTGTGTATATATCTATATATATATGCTATATATGCTCTGAAAGTTCCACTTCCTGCCTGCCCGACCTTACGTTACGGCTGCGCCGCGACAAAAATAGGATTCGATCCTAATTTTAGAGGAGCCCTGCGCCGAGCCGCTTCTGGGACGCTTCTGAGCCGTAACGTGCCGCGTGTGGTGCAATAGCACCCATTGACTAGAGTGGCCGCGATCGCCGTGAGCACCGCGGCGCAGCCGTAACGCGCCCGTAACGCGCCGCAGATGGACCCGGTGGAATCTAGGGGTAAGAGATCAACTCAGTGAAAGCACCGCCTGCTGACCAATCAGAGCTCCGTGTGCGGAGTTTAAAGCGATCAATTCATATTACAGGATAGAGGAAATACAGAAAAACTGCCGTTGCAGGAAAGACGGCCGGCCAAAATCAACTGACTGTGTGAACGTGAAAATTAATAGAATATCCCCTCCCATCTTCAGAGCAATCTGACTATTATAATATTAGCGTTAAGAAAGCTTACTTAAATATCTGCCACGACATAAGTAACCGGACATTAAGTACAGTCCGCGGCACTGTGAGTGCAGACGTCGATGTGTCCCATTATCATTCATATCATATCACATCATAATGTATCATATATTTCCTTATTTGAGTCAGCTTCTTGAGCCGTATCTGGCCGTGCAACACTCACAGTGTCACATACTGTATGCAGAAGTATTATTTTAAGCAACACATTAAGTTGACGAAACACTCGAGTCAAATTCTCCTAATTAAAGTCAGATCCACTCGTGTCTTGGACGGGGCAGTGATATCATAAACCTGTTAATGTACGCATTCAAACACTTTTTCTTTTACCAGCTGTATTCACCTTGCAAGTGCAGCTATGTGGCTTTGATCCTGGATAAAGTGTTTAAGTCATGGATGTTTAAAGTTTAACTTCTTCATATTTGACTAATATTAAAGTTCACTTTTCATTCAGGAAGTATGACGCTGCGCTGTCAGTACGCTTGTCCGTGTTTGAGATTGGTCGAATGCTCCAAATACCACCGCTTTCATGTGAACGCGCACCTAACTAGATAGGACACGGCTGGCTTGAGCGATCCACTTGATAACCAGCGTCGTAGTACAGTTTAGCCAGAGCGCGTATGTTTTGGATTGGGCCAACCGGCTAACTCAAACATATCCAGGTTAGGTTGAACCAGCTTCGTAGTACAGGCCTCTGATGAAGAGATATATAGTATACAGGACATGTACCATGTGATGTGAAGTACAATAACATACATTTAAAGTAATTAAACTGTCATTTATTGAACTCCTTATGAAGCCCCGTCTGTGGGATTAGTTTTGTGTCATAAAGATAAAGAAACACTTTCTCAGAATAAAGCAAAACTAAGAGTTTAAGAGAAAAGAAAACTGAGTCAAGCAAAATAAAATTAATTTCAAAAATAAAACTATAATTTGCAAACAAATCATTTGTGTAAACATGTAAAAAGTATTTTTTCTTTATTTTAACATATCTTTTTGTTTGCAGTTCTCTTTGCTTCTTTCTCAATGATCAGACTTTTGCTCTCGCTGCAGCTCTCTCGTTTGCACTCCTTCATTTTTTGTTTTCAATAGAGTGGCGAAGTCACGCCCACCTACTTCCGGGTAATGGGACCTTATTTCAGAGAAATTATGCATTGAAGTCAATGGGGAGAGAAAACGTATCTTTCGATCCCGTTTGAATTGTGCCATGAATTACACATATGATGTTTGTCAATCTTAAAAAATCATTTCCATGTCAAAAAAGTCACAGTTTGTCGTAAAACTGTTGAAATATAAGACTATGAAAAATACGTAACTAGAAAGACTACAAATCCCAGAGTCGCGTAAGTGATGTCACAATTGTTTTCCTCCACCATTCAGATACCTAAGATCAGCGCAATATAGATATAATCTATCTATATGGCGCTGGCTAAGATAAGATAACTTTAACAAGATGCCTGTGTGCTTAGTACCAGGTTGTTATTATACCAGCAATGGGTCTTGCTCGTTCTTTTGCTTCCCGTCTGATGAAAGGACCAGGAGTGGCTTGATCAAGTTAGCTACCTAGCTAGTAGCTAGCACGTTAGTTAGCATTACAGCCTTGTCATTTTTATTAGCCTTAACATGAAGTAACATTAAGTAACCCAAAATGTTAAACAGTAAGAGTAGTAGTCATATTTCGTGAACCCTTTGAATAGTACTGTCACCGGTGTGATCATTCTATAATACACAATTTAAGCCCGGGGGAGAAATGCTAATGCTAACGTTAGCATCGGCGATCTTCTCTACTTCATGCTATCTGCACAAATGGTTGACATTAAACATTAAAACGACCAGGCAGTTCAGAGAGAATCAAAGGAAGGCAGGCAGGCAGCTTTGCATGACATTCTTCAGGACGTGTTTCATTGTGGTGATAGTGAGGATAGTCAATCGTTTTGTTGACAAGACAGTAGTGACGGCCATCTTGGTGACGTGTGTTGTTGACCAGAGATGTAGTTCATTGAGCGTTTCACACAAACAAATGTGTTACTTCACAGTTTTACGACACATTTTTTTTTTTTTTACTTGCAAAATTATCTTTTAAATTGACAAACATCATATGTGTAATTCGTGGCACAATTCAAACGGGATCGAAAGATAATCTTTCTCTCTCCATTGACTTCAATACATAATTTTTCCGAAATAAGGTCCCATGGAGGTCCACCGGAAGGGGAGGGACTTCGCCACTCTATTCTGACCATACGTCCCAGGTGGGCGGGACTTTCAGGGGTGCGTCCCCATTGGCTACTTAGTTTTTGAGTGACAGCTCAGTCCTCCCGCGATTGTACAGTGCAGCTGCAGTCAACACAGTAGCTGAGCACGGACAGAAGACGCCCAGAAGAACCAGCATTTCAATTATTATAATACTCAGCAGTGGCGTTTTTATATGTACAAAAGTGGTGGGGCACAAAAAACGTAGATGTCTATATCTAAGCTTCTGCAGTGACGTGCAGTGAGGTTCATGGCTGCTGAGGCACTGACTCTTCAGGTTTACAAATATTATATTTTGACCTAAACCAAAATATAATATTATTTTCAAAAGCTTTTTTTGTCTGATGCTTCGATTAATTTTAAACAGACAGTTCAACAAAAGGATACCCAAAAAATGTAATTTTATCATTTAAATATTGAATTGTTCTCTCTTAGTAAGATCCCATTTTCAATAAAATTGCGGTCTTACCTTGACTTGAAGATTAAGTCCATTTGCCTATCCTTCTGGACAAACATCTCTATTACTTTTTTGTAAAAGTCCTCCTTATCTTCTTGTAGTTTCAAAAGTCTATCATAAATCTAATCGATAGATTTATGATTCAAAAATTATAAAAGTAGGGTAGACATGTGGACATTATCCGGCTGAACAAAACGTGCATTTATCTAACAGGTACGTTTCCCACAGATCTTATTTCGAGCTATTTTCTAAAATCCTATGGAGAAATCTCATTGCTTTTTTTGTCGAGGGAAGCCATGCGCAGCTTACTTCCGGGTTTTAGGACGCGTCACTGCAGCTCTCTCGTCTCCTCTTCACACACCACACTTTTCGCGGCACATGTACTTACAGCCAATCAGCTCTGAATTATGTGAGATGATGTATGGTGGGGATGGCAGCTCAGTGCCCCTATGGTCATTATTTTTTTGCCACACACATTAAATAGGAAAATACTCTGAGCATGCGCAGTGTAGTTTTTACAGTCACCGTTCACTTAGACAGTGAGAGGGAGGGGCATGATCAGGTTTTGTCCCACATGGCTCTAAACAGCTCAATAGGCACACACTGTAGACACTAATTGGAAGAACACAGACTAAAACAGCAATGTACAGACGAATCAGATGATTAAACATGATCTTAAAATATATTTTATATACTTTTTTATTTATTTTTTGCATTTTTTGTAATCATTATTTGTAATACTTTCTGCTGACACTAGGTGGGGCTGTTCCCCACCTGCCCCTAATGACCAGTCGCCACTGATACTCAGGGCCAGGTTTTGGCATAGACATACATTTCCCACAATGCATCTCAAATTAGACTTTTTTTCTCAGAATTTGACTTTTTTTCTTATAAATGGTACTATTTTAATAAAATGTCACTTCTGTTTTTTGATTGTGACTTGTTTTCCAGAATTTGGCTTTTCTTTTTAAATCATTTTGTGACATGCACACTGAAGAGACTTGCAATCATAGGCGGTCACCTAGGGCGCCAGATATGAAACAATATAGTGATTATATTCTGTGTTCACGTTACCTTCGGCCCAATGATTCCCAGACCGTGTTCTCCCACAGCTCCTGAAGGTCCCACAGGCCCCAGATCCCCCTGTTAGAGAACCATTAACTCTCATTAAAACTGCTTTCAGATATTTATACTCTCAGAGCAGGGAGAAGTACTCGCATCCTGTACTTGAGTAAAGGTAGAAGTACTCACATCTTGTAGTAAAAGTAGAAGTACTCAGATCCTGTTCTTGAGTAAAAGTAGAAGTACTCAGATCCTGTACTTGAGTAAAAGTAGAAGTACTCAGATCTTGTACTTGAGTAAAAGTAGAAGTACTCAGATGGTGTACTTGAGTAAAAGTAGAAGTACTCAGATGGTGTACTTGAGTAAAAGTAGAAGTAATCAGATCTTGTACTTGAGTAAAAGTAGAAGTACTCAGATGGTGTACTTGAGTAAAAGTAGAAGTACTCAGATGGTGTACTTGAGTAAAAGTAGAAGTAATCAGATCTTGTACTTGAGTAAAAATAGAAGTACTCAGATCTTGTACTTGAGTAAAAGTAGAAGTACTCAGGTCTTGTCCTTCAGTAAAAGTAGAAGTACTCAGATGTTGTACTTGAGTAAAAGTAGAAGTACCAGAGTGTAGGAATACTCTGTTACAGTAAAAGTCCTGCATTCAAAATGTTCCTCAAGTGAAAGTAGAAAAGTATTATCATCAAAATATAGTGAAAGTAGCGACAGTAAAAGTAGTCATTGTGCAGATTGGTCCATTTCAGAATAATATATATGATATGTTTTATAATGATTGATCATGAAAGTGTTCTCAAAGCTGGTAAAGGTGCAGCTAGTTTGAATGACTTTGTATACTGCAGGGTAGCTTGTGGATTTACTCCAGGTGGAACTAAAGTCTGAATTAACACTTGATTATATTTCACATCATCCATCCACATCTGTGAAGTAACTAAAGGTATTAAATACATGTAGTGGAGTAAAAGTGCACAGTAGCATTACATTGAAATACTCAAGTAAAGTAAAAGTACCTCTAAATTGTACTTATCCATCTAATAATATTTAATAATTGAAGCTCTCCTCACCACAAGGTGTCGCCCTCCCCAGTTCTGCCTCCTCCCTGTTCATTGAACCCAGAACACATCGCTCACTAATCACCAGAAAGACGTGATAACACACCGACACATGGATCAATATCATTTTATCTAAACTCATACACAATCAATTATTTGTTGATTTATATTCTGTAATGTGAATCTTTAAAGTACCTTAAAGTGTCAGATAATTGAAGTGGAGTAGAAAGTCTTCTCCTTCCTCTCCACCTGATGTTCTTCCTGCCTCATTGTGTGTTGGAGCTTCAGAGCGTTACTGCTAAGTAGTAGTACTGATCCCGCTTCCATCACATTAGTATGCATACAAAGTGACAGGTCACATCCCCCACTACTTATGCAAATGAGCCCCTTTGATATGCTAATGAGCCCCTTTGTTCGAGGTGTTATCGCGTGTAGGTGTGATATCACAGATAGGTGTGATATCCTTTGATGTGAGGGGGTGAGGTGTTGTAACATGTAGGTGTGATATTCCCCATTGTAGTAGATCCTTTGTTGTCTAATCTAATTAGCCTTTGATGTCTGACCCTTTGATGTCTATCCTTTGATGTGAGGGGTGAGGTGTTGTAACTGTAGGTGTGAATTCCCCCTTGTAGTAGATCCTTTGTTGTCTAATCTAATTAGCCTTTGATGTCTGACCCTTTGATGTCTATCCTTTGATGTGAGGGGTGAGGTGTTTGTAACATGTAGGTGTGAACTCCCCCTTGTAGTAGATCCTTTTGTTGTCTAATCTAATTATCCTTTGATGTCTGCCCCTTTGTTGTCTAATCTAATTACCCTTTGATGTCTATCCTTTGATGTGAGGGGTGAGGTGTTGTGACATGTAGGTGTGATATTCCCCCTTGTAGTAGATCCTTTGTTGTCTAATCTAATTAGCCTTTGATGTATGTCCTTTGATCAGTGTTTGTAACTAGTATTAAGACAGTCTCTTTGAAGTTGTGTGAGACTGTCTCGCACCCCGTCCTCCTCCCACCCCGTCCCCCTCCCCCTTCCTTTTGCTGTGATGTCAGAAGATAGAGGTGGGGGTGGAGTTAGATAAAAAAGAAATCCGTGCAAAACTAGATAAGAAGCCACTCACCAAGTCACCTAAACTTTCAAAAACGAAAAGGGCAAAGAGACGCATCGATATGGGTTTAATCAGCGAGACGCCTGTGACAACTTACCGCCATCCGTCGGGAGCGCCAGTCAAGAAACGGATGCAGTATCTGTGCCGTGTTCAAACCCCTCCGTCTGAGGCTCTTCATGAAAAATGGAGTCTGGATGTGTGAGACTGTCTCCCCTCCCTCCCCTCCCACCCCTCCCCTCCCCCCTGCCCGTCACCTCCTGATTTTGCTATCAGCCATTAATTTTCACTCACTTAGTCACCTAAAACTTTTATTGTCCTCTCTAAATTAGATTCGTTTTTAATATGATTTGTGTTAACTAAGGATGTTCTCTTAAGTTGTATGGCTTGTGAACTAATGTTTAATTACTTTACTAACTACAACAAAGTCTCTCTGAGAGGAAAATAATAATTTAAAATATGTTAATGACCCCCTGATATTGTATTTTGTAATGTTTAATTACTTCACACAACTATTAATGAATCCCTATATGAAGTTACATGAGGCTACATTTACTGGTGTTGAGCCCTGGATGATGTAAATAGTCCAAGTGCCATGGTAGGGGGGCATTACGGAACTCAGGAGTCCGCCCTTTGAGGCGTTGTTAACATTAATGCTTTTGTTTTTGTTACTAAGATACTTTTTAGATACACTTTTGAAGTGAGCAACACTTTACAAATGGTAGAAAGTTAAGTACTTTGTATGGAATTGGGTTTTCTTTAGAGCTGTTTTCAGTGAGACAATGCCGTTTCTGATCATTTTAAGTTTCAAGTTTCAAGGCTTTATGGCATATGTCCATTAGCTACAGTGTAGATATGTCAATGAAAAACATAGGTCACAGGCTCCTCCAACAGTGCACATAAAACAGATAAAATACTGCAATAGAATGTTTTGATATGACAGATTTTTGCGTAATTCTCTCACAAAGGAACTGTAAGATACACGTTTATGTATGGAAAACTTTATAACTTGGTAAAATATTCATTCATTTGTAATGAATTGAGTTTTCTTCAAGAATCAAACTCTAAATGGAGAGTTTGTGATTTTAACACTGTTTCGATGAAACAATGCAGTTTTGATAACTTGACTTGACTAACATTACTTTTTTTTAAATATATGTCTTTAGATGCTTTACTTTTGATTTCTTTCATGTTATTTTAACACATTACTTTTTTCATATTTTTCAACATACTGTGATATTTGTTTTTTCTCTCCTTTTTTCCATTATATTTTTGAATATACAGACATTCAACGCAATAAGTCCCACCCCAATCAGCAAATCATCCAAAACTAAGGACCCCCACTAAGACGAACAGATTTTCTTTAAGACTGTGACTCTTAAAGGCACTTTGGGATTTTAGTAAGACAACCCAGTTTTCTGGAAATAACTTAAATGATTTTCGTTTTTTCTCCTACAAAGATACTTATAGTTACACTTTAATGGATGCAAAACTTTATAACTTGGTAAAATATTCATTAATTTGTAATGAATTGAGATTCTTAAAGAATCAAACTATAAAGAGAGTTTGTGATTTTAACACTGTTTCGATGAAACAATGCCGTTTTGATAACTTGACTTGACTAACATTACTTTTTTAAATATATGTTTTGTTAGATGACTTTACTGATTTTTGCTTTTTTCTTCCTTGCTTTTGTTTGTGTTACTAGGATACTTTTAGATACACTTTGAAGTGTGCAACACTTTACAACTGATAGAATAGTACTTTGTAAGGAATTCGTTTTCTTGGTAGAATATAAAGTACTTTGTAAGGAATTGGGTTTCTTAACAATCCTGCTCCACCATTAAATCACTTAATCTGCTACTTCCAGGCAAAAGCTTTAAAACTTGCACCGTGTATTAAGTCATGTCTTGGCAAAAATGAGAGTCCTGGGTGCTTTAAAACATTTCTTAGAACATTTTGATATATTCAAACACATAATGAACTGCAATGACTCTGGCTCACTGCTGCATCAAATTTATTTTACACTGTTGTGAGGACAAGACTGTGAGACTCTCAGACCCTTTTGTTGTCAATCTAATTAGCCTTGATCTATAAAAAAGTCACCTACTACTTTTATTTGTCCTCTCTAAATTAGATTTAGGGTTTTTAAAATTCTGAAAAGGCGTGTTGTGAGGGGGAAAAAACAGATGTATGTATGCGGTTTTGAATGGTGGCTGGTTGATGAAAACTGATCCAAAATAAGGGGTCAGGAATAATATGGCTTGAAATATGAGCAATCATGTTAATAGCTACAGATACGCTAAAGTACTACAACAACAACATAGGAGTGCTTATACTGTATGTTGTAAAAGCAGGACAAACAAATAAATAAAATGCTGCATTGTTTTTGAAACAAGAACCATATGCCCAAGGCATTTCTACATTTAGATGACATGTTCAGAACTCAGTACATTTGAACCAATAACTAATTTAACCATCAACATCAATTTAAGTGCACACAGCAGTGCAAACAAACAAAAATACAGGCTTGTGTGCATCAGACAACTCAAATTACTCCACTTTAACCATATTTAGAATGTCCTCATTTTAACTAAAGTAATTTAACCTAAGTGGAGCCAACCTAAGGAGTGGGCCCTACAGTCTGGGACTAGCTTACTTTTTAACATTCTACTCAAAGGGCCCGTAAATATTATCTCCGCCAATATGCTATATTAAAATATCATTAAAAAAAAAAAAAAAAAAAAAACTCATTTCATGTTGAAATGATCAAGGAAAAGCCAGTCAATGTTATGCTAACACAAACAAAAGTTCTGTTTTATATGTTGAAATATAATTTAAAAAACAACGATATAGTATTTTCAAGTCTTACTTTAGTATGGCAAATTTAAGAATAAGTCACATTAAAGTTTGTCATGATTTTCCGTAAAAAAGTCAAGTATAGTTTGTCAAAAGAATATGAAAAAATCATTTTGTAGAGTAGTATGTTGAAAATCTCAGTGTTTAACTGAACACACCTACATGTGATAACACCTCGAACAGGTGTAATTAGCATACAAAGGGGGGTCACTAGCATCATTGGGGGAAAGGTGCTACGAAAATGAACTTTGAGGAGGGGGAACTTGTAAGAATTTCCAAGGCGAGAGGGGTCTTTGATAAAAAATATGAACAGAGTTATACCGACGAATTATTTACGGCGTCCGAACGCATACCTCGTCAACCATCTGTTTACAAACTCAAAGATTATGATGGAGAAGAGATCAAGGAGACTTTTTTATGAGAAAGAGTTAAAAAAAGTGAAGGTAGTACTTTTTTCTGAACAGATTTTCTTTAAGACTGTGACTCTTAAAGGCATTTTCTAGTAAGACAATCCAGTTTTCTGGAAATAACTTAAATGATTTTTGTTTTTTCTCCTACAAAGATACTTATAGTTACACTTTAATGGATGCAAAACTTTATAACTTGGTAAAATATTCATTAATTTGTAATGAAATGAGTTCAAAGAATCAAACTCTAAATGGAGAGTTTGTGATTTTAACACTGTTTCGATGAAACAATGCAGTTTTGATAACTTGACTTGACTAACATAAGTTTTTTTAAATATATGTTTTTAGATGCTTTACTTTGATTTCTTTCATGTTATTTTAACACAACATTACTTTTTTCATATTTTTCAACATACTGTGATATTTGTTTTTCTCTCCTTTTTCCATTATATTTTTGAAAAACTACACAGTGATTTTTATCAAAATACAACATGCAACTAATACATTATACAATATTACGACTTTTTGCGATATTTTCAACACAATATACTTGTACCTTTTTCTGTAGGGCTTCAGGATATTTGGCATGTCATGCATAAAACCGGTGTCATCTTTCCTGAAACTGACGTGCTGTCCGTTTTACAAACAAGTTATCTTTCTGCTTCTTCACCCTCTGAATTTTCCTCCCCCGTCCCTCTTTCTTCAGCCATCACAACAACAATCAAGTCAGATCTGTGAAATTAAACACCTCTTCCCAAAGAGTGACTTCCCATTTGAGGGAGTGGGGCAGTAGGGCCTAACCCGATTGGCCTAATATACTAACATGCAGAACGTATGGTATGTTTGAAAAAAGACTAACCATCTATCCAGTTCAAGCTGTCTTTAAGATGCGACAT